CCCTGGGCCTGTCCCTGTCTCTGAAAACGGCCTGCTTCCCATGGCTGTTGTGGTGGAGAAATGGAAAAAGAAGGAGGGGGCGGAGGAAGAGGAAGGGAGCCACGCACAAGGGCCCGAGCTCCTGGGAGGGGACGCCACGAGGGAGGGCAGGGGGTGGAGGACGGAGGAGCCCACCAGGGACGTCACCTCCCCCACCTCCACGCAAGGGGTCCAGAGTGGGACGGCATCACTGGTCAACTGCGCCCACCCGCTCGCCCACCCGCCCTCCTTACCTCTGTCGAGCTGGACGGTGAGGACCTTCTTCTCTCGGACGAACTTCCGGCCGTTGCAGGCCAGGCACCGGTCCAGTGGCCGCACCCACTCCCCGTGGCCGTGGCACTGGGAGCACATGGTCTGGATGTGGTGCACGATGTTGGGGCCCAGCTGGTTGACCATCACCTCCACCCCGGAGCCGTGGCACTTAGGGCAGCGCGTGTCCACGCCTTCTCGGGTCCCGCGGCCTGCGTGTGCGCAAGAGACACGAGCCAGGCTCAGGTCAGTGGGCGCCTCCGGCCACCCCAGGCGGAAACGGGGCAGCCAGTGGCCCCGCCCCCCCAGGAAGTGGGGCTGCCCCTCCCTGACCCCCTCTGCCCTCCTCCCTTCCCCTCTCGCTCACCCGCACAGCTCTGGCAGATGACGTTCTTCTGGATGGACAGTTTCCGAGTGGCCCCGTTGTAGAGGTCCTCCAGGGTCACGGGCAGCTGGTGGACGGCTGTCTTTCCTGAAGGGAGGCCAAGCCCAGGCGTCACCATCATGAGCAGCCCCCCCCGGGCGAGGGGGAGGGGGGCTGAGCCAAGAGCGAGCCGGCGGGGCCCCTCCCGTGTTGGTGACGCGGCTCCTTTCACAGAGGCCCTGCGGCTTCCTGGGAGGCGCATTTTCAGCAGTGCAATACCTGACACCCCCCCACAAACACCCCCCCACACCGACACTGCTGGGCTTTCCATGTACGACAAGGCCGCAGCATCCACGGGGGCCTGGTTTCGAGCCCCTCTTCCGTGTGCAGATGCCAGGAAATGGGGCCATGGAAACCCTTAGACACACTCTGGCTGCCTCTCCTCCCCGAAGGGGAGCTGATCCCGCGGACGTGGTGGTCGTCTTGTCGAGGCCAGGGAGGCGTGGGGGGGGGCGCAGCGTCTCCCTTGCTCCCCTGAGGGGAGGCCGAGGGCCCTTCTGCTTCCCTCCCCCATTCAGTAGAGCAGCCGCTGGGGGCTTCCCCCAAACTCCCTCAACCTACCAGGGTGGCTGGCAGGCAGGCAGGCCCTCCTGAGGATTTTCTCCCTTTGGAAAACTGGGGTGCTGGCGTCCCCCCACCTCCCTACCCACCGGCTGCGTTCCTGCATCACCTCCTGCGGATGCACGCGAGCACCCACGGGGCAGAGCGGGGGGCATTCCCCTCCTCTGGCAGGAAAGGGGACCCCAAAGCCCCACCCCTGCCGCCGCCCTGGCGTCAGGGCCAAGGGGAAGCCCCTCCAAGGGGGAGCCTCCGAGGCCAGCCAGGGAGAAGGGGCACCCGGCTCCTCTGACTCAGCAGAAGATCCCGCGGGCCGAGAGACAGCCTGGAAGGTGGGGCCAGGGAGGAGGACGCCGTGATAATCATGGGAGCTGATGGAGGAGAGGAGTCTGCGAAGGGGGGGGGAGGAGGCGGAGGCAGCAGAGCGCACCCCCTCCCCACCTCGGCAGCCGCCCCCTCCCACCTGCACAGCCCACGGAGGATGGGAGGAAGGCCATCCCTCAGCGAGGAGGGGGTTTCCACCTCCATCAAGACCAGCACGATGGGGGCTGGATTAGATGGCCTTTGGGATCCCGTCCTTCACAACGAGTCTGCAATACCAGACCTAGGCCAAGCATCATCCTCTCTCACACACATGCACATGCGCTCCGCCTTTTCGGCGCCCACATACCTCTCCTGTCTACCCGGGGCCCGTGGTGGTGGACCCCTCCTCCGAAGAACAGGTCGAAGATGTCCATGGGGTGTCCAAAGCCTCCTCTGTCCCCCAGGCCCCCTTCCTTCATGGCCCGCTCCCCGCCCCGGTCATACAGGGACCTCTTGAGGGGGTCGGATAACACTTCGTAGGCCTGTGAGATCTGTTTAAACTGGACAGAGGAAGAGCGAGAGAGCGAGAGAGCAAAAGGATAAGCAGCTGCTTGATGAGCCCTCCGGTCTCCTTCCAGCAGAGAGCTGCCAACTCTGAGCGTCTGCCAGGATTTGGCCCTGCCCATCCTTCAAGGGCCTGGATGAGGTCTGGTGGCAGCCTCCCTCTTGAGTCTGGCCCTGCTGGGCCGCCTCTGAAATCAGAGAACGTCTGGAGGCGTTCAGGGTGGATAGAAAGAGACCTGAACGGCCATCACCAACAGCCCCCCACCCTCACCCACCCCCGTCTCCTCTCTCTTCGCCCAGGCCAGGCCAGGCCAGCCCACCTGCTGGCCCTCGCGCCAGGCACCTACCCGCTCCCCCTCGCTGGGGTTCTTGTCCGGGTGGTACCTCAGGGCCAGCCGCCGATAGGCCCGCTTGATCTCGTCGACGGTGGCGCACGGCTTGACTCCCAGCAAGTCATAGTACCCGGTTTCTCTCACCATCGCTCCTCCTCTGGAGGGGCCTGTCGGAGGGCAACGTCTGGGCGCGGGAATCCCAGCGCTTCAAGCCGGCAAGATCACGCAAGCCCCAGGTTCCTGGGCACAGCCTGGGCCTGCGCTCAGAAGACGCCCCCGAGCCTTCGGAAAGGAAGAAGACAAAGAGGCTTTGAACGGGAGGGAACAAACAAACAAACAAACAAAACTCCTGGCTGGCAACTTGTCCAAAACCGAGGAGGGCAACCAAGACCGACATCCAGCGGGCACTCGGGAGGACGTTGCACTTCCCAGCCTCCCTCGCAGGAGGGAAAGAGGGGGGCCTGGAAAGGGCTCCCAAGGCAGCGGGTGGGGAAGGCGGACGTGGGGGTGCCTCCCACCCCCAAAAAGCCTTCCTCCGTCCAGACGGCACGTCTCCCCCCCCCCTTCCGCAGGTGCTGCTTGCCAGGCAGCCGATGCCGGTCCTGTCTCTGGCCTCAGCGCCACCTCCTCCAAGGGGCCTCTTCGGCTGGAAGAAAACAGCCAGCCAGCCAGCCAGGGAGTGTGGGTGTGTTTCTCCAGGTTGGGGCGGGGGTTCCATATCTGTATTTTCCAACAAAATCTCCATGGGCTCCATTGCCTACTTTACCATTAAACCCTCCCCCATTATAAAATTTAGATATTGCTCTTTCATAACTATTTTTAACTTTTAATGTTTAATTTTTAAAAATACTATCTTCATCTTTATCACAATTGATCCTCTCAACCTACTTTCTGCCCCCCCCCCCCCCCCCCCCCCCCTGCCTCTCTCTCTGTCTCTCTCTGTCTCTCTCTCTGGGCTTCCTCCTGGCCCCATCCGGCCCCATCGCTTCTTAAAACTTTTTTTCCTGGCCCCTGCCTGCTTACAAACCAGCCCAAGTTGCCTTCCCGGACCGCCGGCCTCCCCGAGGCGCTCTCCCTCCTCCGTGCCAAGCAGCCCGTTGCGAGGAGGGCTCAGCAGTCCGTGTGGCCGGGCCCCTGAAGCCGAGCAGTGGACAACCCCATGGGTGGACCTGCCTGGTCCAGGAAACCCCCCCCCACCGACCCCCCACCACCGACCAGGAACTCAGCAAGAAGGCAACTCATTCCTCAACGCAAACAGCCGATTCAGGCCAGCCTCCCACCGCCAGAGAGGAGACGGGGGGGGGGGACACAATCAGGTCACCGCAGTACAGCTTCCCCCAGGCCCTCTCCTAAGAGACACCCCACCCCCACCCCGAGGAAGCCTCGGGAAGCCTACACATCTAGGTTGTCCCAGTTTCAGCCCCCCCCTCCTCCTCCTCCAGGACCAGAGAGCGCAGGGTGGCCACCCCTCAGCCCAGAAGGCCTCACCTCCGGAGCAGAGCCTCCTTTGCCGGTTCTTCGGCTCTGGTGGAAAAGGGGAACCAACCGGCCAAGGAAGGGCGTGAGAGAACCCTCGCCTCTCCAGCAGCCCCAAGACAGCTCCCCGGCCAGAGAGCCCGGCCCAGAAGCGGCCGAGTCCCTCTGGTGCTCCTCGGGTCCCTGGGTGCGCCTGGAGAGGGCTTGGCTGCTGACGGCAGGCCCCCGACACTCGCCCTGCGACTCCCAGGGACGCCGCTGCGGTGAGCCCCAAACCGGTTTCTGGGGAGATCTGCGTCAGAGGCTCAAAGCTCCTTTAGCACCACCGCTTTTTTCCCTTCCAGAGAAACGCCTGAGTTGCTAAAGATGAACTCCACCCACCAGGAGCCTGAGACACCCCGGATGGGAGGCACTCCTCCTGCTGCCCCGGGGCCAACAGCTCTGGAGGTTTGGGGGGGCAACCTCCCACCCCAAGACAGCGGGGGGCGGGTGTCCATCAGCCCTGAAGCCACCCGTCCACACGGGTGGCCTTGGAAATCCTCTTCCCATTTCATTCTTGTGTGATCGTGGGGGGGGGGGGGTCGTTCGCCCCAGCTGGCAGCAAAACAGCCACTTCCAGGGGTGGGCAACCTCTTCACACGGACCTGGGCAGTGGGAGGGTCCCCCATCTCCCCCCCACACACACACACAGCACTTGTGGCCCAACCCCAGACAAGTGGCGAGCCAGGATGCATCCCAGGCCGTGGGAGGGGCTGGGCACCCGATGACTTTTCTCCGGGGCCTGACTCTGCATTGGCCTGAATAAGCAAGAAGGCGTCTCCGCCAAGGCACTCCTCAGCGCAGCCAAGGAGGTCAAAGCAGAGCCCGGACCTTTGATCTGCTCCGGGTGGCCAAGCAGGACCGGCTAGGCTGGTTGGTTTGTTGGCACCGCCGGCTCCGCGGACAGCCCTGCCGCCCAACTGCTTGCTGACGGGAGCAGGCCTTTGGGGCGTTGCCGACGCGGCAGCGGCTTCTGGTGCCGCCTCCTCCTCTTCCCTGCTGAAGGTGCCAGAGACGGATGCTCCTTTGGGGAAGAGCGGCCCCTTCCCAACCTCAGCAAGGCTGAGCGTTTCAAACGGAGGCGAGGAAACCGCCGGCCAGAGGCCCCCAAGAGGGCTGGAGCCGAACGGGCAAAGCAGGAGCCGGGCAGCCCTCGGCACACCCAGGTCCCACGGGGACACGCTGTGGCTCGCCCAGCCCGGTGGCCACGCTGGGCGAGAAGAGAAGACGGGGCCTCCTCCGCGGGGGCTGCTCCCAAGCTGGGGAACGGGCTGCTGCTGCTGCGGCCCCTCTTTCGGAGCCGAGAGGCCAACCCCCTTCTCTGCAAGGAAGGTCCCTCTGGGAAACTGGGACAACCTAGATGTGTAGGTTTCCCGAGGCTTCCTCGGGGTGGGGGTGGGGGGGTGTCTCTTAGGAGAGGGCCTGGGGGAAGCTGTACCGCGGTGACCTGATTGTCCCCCCCCCCCGCCCCCCCTCTTCC